CCAGTTCCCAGAGACCGCAAAAATAAACAAAAATGAAGTGGGTTGCAGCACAGAAAACATTACTTTATTGCTCATTAGGTTCATGTATAATACAGCAAGGTTTTGGGCTTCCCTGCCCTTTTTCAAGAAGACAATAGGTGGGGGAGAGAGCACATTGCGCATGCACGGGGCTCTGCAAAAATATAGCGTTTACTCCTGTGATGTTGGGGATGAGCATCTAACGACTGGCTCGTCCTGGCAACAAGACAAGATGCATTTATAAAAAGATTTTTAAAAGCTGCTAAATGTATTGTCCATTACTGGGGATAGAGCACTCCATAGGCTATTTTGTTACAAAGGTGAACTAACCCTTTAAATTGATTTGAATTGTTATGGCTTTAACTAGAAGATCTGGAACCCAAGCTAAAGTTCTGAATCATATGCAGGAAAAAAAAACATGTTTCCAAATATACCATAAATGAATAAAGTTTTCTTTCAATGGTTTTCTTAGGACATATATTAAAGATTGAAATCTTCCCTAAACCTTCATAATAGAATACATTCAGAATACATGTAAGGATACATTGACTTACGTCTTGAAAGAGTTTTCTATCTGCTGCAAGTCTTTTGGAGGACAAAGTCTTGGTCACGTGATACAAGGTAAGCAATGCTCTGTGCTGGAGAAGGTCATCTTGAACTTTGACTGATTCAATGAGAGTCGGGATAAGCTCAGGCCATTGCTTGGGGCAATCGAGCCTTGCCACTTTTGCGATTAAAACCGCAATCTGAGTAGCAATCTGCAAGAAAAAAAAATGATTTAAGTTATGTCAGCCAACAATACATGTAAAGCATAGGCAGCTATAGATGATAAAGAGAAGATAGGTCACTACTAAGTTGGCGTATATCCTTTTTTGTACCGCAGTGCAGTTTCTCTCATTATTACAACTTTGTCCGCTATTTTTTTATTTTATTTTATTCTATTGCGGATTTCTCATGATGCTCTGTTCATTTTTTCCTTTACTTTCTAAAGTTGTAATGTTTTGCAATCTTTAATTTAAAAAAAAAAGTAAATTATGAAATGAGATCAGGCCCTCAAGCCCCTGAAAGGTCCAGAACTTCTCTAAACACAGGATGTTAAGTAACTGTCTGTTTTAAGCTTTAAGGCTGGGTTCACACTATTTTCCGGACCAGATCTGGAACATAGTGCATTGCGTTTTTTGCAGCTATTTTACCACAATTTTGACGCGATTGGAATTTTTTTTGTTTTTTATTTTAGCTTAAAATGGTCGTATAGGTGCGAACCATGCATTTTTGGTTTTGATGCGTTCCAGTGCCTTCCAGACCAGACAAAAAATAGGACAAGCAGTATTTTTCGGGTCTGGTCTGGAACAAACTGTGCTGGTGGGAACAGAGGCCAGAAATAGCATAGGGATACATTGGGATGCATTTGGGTCCGGAAACAGTCTGGTCTGGGGGTAATCTGGATGTGGTGTGAATGGGCCCTTAAAAAAGGAGGTGGGGAGGTGTGCAACAGACACTTCTAACACTTATATCATTGATATTTCCTCCATTGGCACCCAATACAGCCAAGAACTGGATATAGTTAGTCTAATCACTGGCAAAGAAAAACACAGCGGTCAACTGAAAAAAAAAATCTAACTCAGGCTATAGTTCCATCAAGACTAATAATCACAAGTGACGAGGGAGCATGGAGCTGCCTTCCCGGCCGATCAGGAAGCCGGGCAGCATGTCATGACTCGCTGCCAGGCTTCCTAATACCAGAAGCTCAAGTATTGGGCTAAGCATCAAAGCATTTGGGCAAGTTCGAGTACTCACCCAAATACTCGGCATCGGCACTGATACCTATACTAATATTGGTACATCCCTAGTAATATTGGTACATCCCTAGTAAATAATAATAATAATAATAATATACTGTACTAGTCCTACTCCAGTGAAATATATGTTAGCACATTGCTTGTTTAGTTGTGTATAGTATAATTTTGGAAAACCTTTACCAAACATTTTGTTTCAGTCTGGGATAAAGGAACCAATTAGCATATGTTGCCCCCTCTCTCTCTCTCCTGCTCCCCCCCCCACTCCTCTCCATGGCATCAAACATGAATACCAAACACAGTATTACTAGGATAGCATACATTTATTGTTTTTTTTTCCCCTCTAGGTGCTTTTTTGGTATTTGTGCAACTAGCAGCATTTATATTTCTCCTGTGATGAATAAGGTAGTATGTACATGCCACAATAAAAACAGCATCATTAAGCAATGGCTGCACATCAAAGGGTGGATTTCTTGATGGTGACAACAGTTGACCATGCCTGCGGGATGTGCATCGACATGGTCACTTGCTTGTACTCTGCGTTGGGAGTACAAATTAGAAACAACGTTGTCACACTATAACAGGAAGTGTCTGAACAAGGACTTTCATTACATGGTCACCAGTTATTATTTTATTGAAAACTGCAGACTTTAATGTTTAAAATGAGTTTTACATGTTGAAGCTTATATTAGATTTTAGTCATTGGGTTCACATATACTTTAACTGAAATGCAAAAAAAAAAGTGATGAACAAAATATTCCCAGGTCTTACTCTACGCAATCAGCTAGAGCACAGAAGCAAATAGCATTGCCACCCCACTAGTCAGGAACACACGGAGAAAATAAAAGAATTAAACAAATGTTTTGTTAAAGAATAAATGGAAGTTGACACCACTTTAGTGATCATATGAAGCGAGGACTCCCGACCTCCACTCTCTATCTATTTCATTTTCAAAGTGTTTATTTAGATGGAAAATAGCACAATTCCAATGCCATAGGGACAGCGATAGAAGATGTAAGCGACTCATCAGTATTCAATTCTGCACTAACCTGATTTACTGGCTCATTGAAGTTGGTGATGAGTCCCACACGCAGTGCCGATTTCTCCACCTCTAACAGCGCACTGTGGAATCAGAGGGAGAAAAAGAAAGACAATACTCAAAATTAAAGTTTTGGAAGTGTCATTTTTTAAATAACTCCAGTCTAATTTTAAAAGCAGGATACTCTTAAATGAAGTTGTTGAAATCATGAAATATACATATAACCACTGAATACTTTTACCTGTATCCTTTGATTACAATTCCAGCATCTGACACCTTACAAACGATGGCCACCTACACTTACAGATGTGCTACAGAATATACAATCAATACTTCCAGGAATGCAAAGAGTTCATACACACTGTATCGTTACCTAAATAAAGTCTACTTCAAGCTAATATTATTTCAGTTCTGGATATGGAGACCGTAAGGTTACAAGGGACTCTCAGGGGATACCCTTTTAGAAGTCTATGGGGGAAAGACTGAACAGAAATGGCCAGCAGAAAGGAAGATTTTTATGAAGTCCGTGGGAAGTGAAGATTCAGAGGCAACTCAATGTACAGAAATAAAGGGCCCCAAACCAAACTATGAATGAGCTGTTGTCAATTTAAAGTGATACTAAACTCCGGAGTTCAATCTTAATAATGCATTTAAGTACCCTAAATGTATATTAACAAAAATTTATCTTATTTGAATATCACTCGGCTGTAGATCCTCAAATCATCTCTGAATTGGTGCTGACGCTGTCCTTCCTTCTGGAGTGTGGCTACTTTTGCTCACAATGGTCTCTGTGTGTGTGTTGTAAAGTAGCCACCGCTCCAATCTCACTCCTGTGATGGACTACAATTTTACGTTTAGTTTACTACTTTGTATTGCGATTGCAGTCCATCCAAAACACAAAAGGGACCATGGGGAACAAAAGTAGCCACCCTCCAGAAGGAAGGACAGTGTCAGAATAGGATTTGAGGATCTACAGCTGAGTGATCCACAAATAAGATACATTTTTGTTAATAGTTAGTGTACTTGAATGCCTTTTAAAGGATTGACCTCTGAGTTTGGTGTCACTTTAAGTTCTAGGCCTAATGGAGATCTTTTTTAGTAAATCACATACAGATCCATTTGGTTATAGTATCTTTTGTGTCCAATCAAACCCGTATCCCATTCCAAGGGAGAGTTGATGCCCCTGAAATGTGTTAAATGTTTTATGTTTGATCGAATTGTATGGCGCCCTTTATTTCTGAACATTGAGTCACTTGTGGTTACCCAACAAGGGATACCTGTTTTTAGGGTAACTGCCATGCCAGTGCACTGGAACTTTCTTGCATTTGGATAATCTGAGTGAGCACTGAAACCCCAGCGCCTCTTAAATGTGTGGAGATTCAGGGGTAAGGAAGGGTAGGTTACTTTTGTTTAGGATGGCTAGGCAGTAACAATATCTGTAATATCTGTCAAAGCACAGCTATCTTCCAGAAGACCAAATATACTCTAGTAGAGGATTCCAGTGCTGGTCCTCTACTGGGTTAAATGATACCCAGCATATTAAACCATTCAGAATATACAGTGCAATGATGCAAAAGAGCCTTCATTAAGACAACAATACTCCCTACATCATTTAGGACCACTCAGTACCAGAGAAGCATCTAAGTGTTCTCCTAATGCCTAAAAACCAGAACTGCTGCCAGGCTTTGGTTATTCTAATATTTGCATATTCTTAGCAAGCAGTAAAATAGAAGCAGTGAAGTTGTTGAAGTCAGTTCCAGGCACTCTGCTCTCTACCTTTTTTCTGGGCACCTACACTATTTTTCAGGCTGGCAACTCACTCCTGCCAGGGGGACCCGAGCAACAGAGAGAAAGTGAATTCAAAAACGATTAAGCGTCTGCTGCAAACTTCAAGAATTAAATTACTCTACAATAGCTGCAGCAACAGGGATTAGTGAGGACTCGTTTTAAATTGTAAATGCTGCTTGCTAAGATAATGTAAATATTTAAATGGCCACAGCTAAGCCAAAAGTACCTTCATTTTCTCTAAAAGGACCAGAAGTCTCAAGGAGAAGCTTGTTTTCCTGAATGCTTAGTGAAGAGAAAGGTATAGGGGCCTATTTAGGGCCAAACATAATTTAGGAGGCTATGGGGCTCAAAAAGGAAGTTTAGGGCAACAAAGTTCATTACAAGAGACTCTCAGGTACAGTACTTAACTGATTCTAATTAATATATGTATGGCTTTATTTACCTCACAGCATATATACAGAGGGACCCAAAAAATGTATACACACTTCAACATGAAAAATATATGCATAGAAAATGTATTACTAGATTTATAGAAGCCTCAAAGGGCAGCAGTAAATCATGTTTGAATTATGCAATCACATTAGGTGCTCAAAGTGGTCACCATTAGCATCTAGACACATTTGATTTTGGCGCACTACTGCATGAACAACATTGACTAGAGTGTCCACAGGGATTGCTCTGCATGATATTTCAATTTCTTCCCGTAGTGCAGCCAGCGTAGGCGGTTTTCGACATTATAGCACATTCTTTAGTGTTCCCCACAGATAGAAATTAAGGGGTGTTGAGTCCGGGGAACGTGGAGGAAATTCAACAGCATCTCTGTGTCCTATCCAACATCCTGGCAGAATGTCATCGAGATAGGCTCTTATGTCTCGGTGGTAGTGAGATGGTGCGCCATCTTGCTGGAAGCAAAATTGCTCATCCACATAAAGCACACAAATGGCCAGTTTGCCAAAAGCACTCACAGTACTCCATTCTCCGATCAGGGTCATCTTCAATCATGTCGTGTAACAGTCTCGGGATGTAAAACTTCCAATGTGCTCTCTTAAGAATAAGTTGTATGTTTGATCTGCTAATTCCTGTCTCACATGCACATTGTTTGCGGTGAGCATGTAAACTGTTGCAACACCGTATCCGAGGAAGCAGGACTTGTTGCGGTGCGACGCCTCCCAGATCTTGCTTGTGCACATCAAACACAGTGCCATCGGTTTTGAACTTTTCACGAATCCGTTAGATTGTTAGTCGTGGAGGTGGTTCTGTTCCAAACTCACGTCGCCATAGTCATTGAACTTCACACACATTTTCAAACTTACAATAACACTTCAAAATGGTCTTGCGTTGCTTGAAAGTCAAGCGTGCCTCCGCCATTTTCTCTAACTCTCTCCTGACGGTCACATGATGATATCAACAATAGTGCGACTGCTGATATCTTTAGAGGAAACATAATACTACACATTGCTGCCATAATTCAATATGGGTTTTAAAAAAGGGTATAAAAAACAACTGTTGAAGTGAAGTGTGTATACATTTTTGTTGGGCCCCTCTGTATATTGCAAACCATCACATTTGTTTTGTGCAAAATCAGTGTAATCTGGCATTTCCCTTTAAAATCTATTTCTATGTTTATACAATACAGGCAAATTGTGCCACACAAATGAATTAAGGTTCCCACTAAATAAAATGTTAGCATGAAAAATGGAGAAAGATTTGTCAGTAACAGAAAAAATGGATATTACCCGCACAGGTCCAATTTAGTACTAACATCAACAGGCCAAATTTATGGCTGTAATTACAAAGTTGTCCTGCAAATAAATTTAAGCGTTAAAGGTGTGATGCAAGTGCATGAATATATTTCATGGTTCAGGGCTATGTGTACTTAGATATTCTGTGCTATTGGTAAAGGGGTCTAAACAGCTTTAGAGACAGCAGCAGCTTAATTAATTGCAAAGGCCCTTTCTACGATGGTATATCAATATGTCTGCAGACTGAGACCGTACGCAAATGTCATACTTTATTTTAAGGTTTGGTAAGGTACAATAATATTTATGAGACACAGGATATAAAAGAAACTATCTTTCAGAATGTCCTGGGAGTCCTTGGACCATGGCATCCAAAGTGCCAGGGCTGCTTCTAGCTAAGCTATAAGGCTAGGTTCATACCTGCAATACTCCGCACAACACACGGGACACGCATCCCAGATGCCGTGCGGTCCTGTGCAATGCAGGCAGTGATTGCCGTGCGGCCCCATTGATTTCAATGGGGTGACATCCGTGCGGCAATCGCAGAATAGAAGGTACAAGTACATTTATTTGCGATACCATTCGAAAATAATGGCACCCACAGCACGATCGGTTCGCACCTTGGTGACTCCTGGTGAGGTGTCGCCTAGGTGTGAACCTACCCTAAAACTCTGCCACATTAAGCCCAACCACACCTCAATGCGAGGGATTATTACACCCCGGGGGAGGGGGTAAATCCCCTACTCTGCTGCCTCTTTTCATCTTCTAGGGAAACATTTTAATGTTCCATTGCAATGCAATTACAACTTAAATTAACAAGTTTGATTAAAAGTGACCCTGTTGCAAAAAACAACTAGCAAGAACACAATTACCTGTAAAAAAAAAAAGGGTGTAAATACTTACCTTTTCCAGTGGCCGTGCCACCAAACACAGATCCATTCCTGAGCTCGTCCCCCAAAAGTCTAATGAGAGACTGACACTATCAGCAGTCTTGATCTTTATGATCACCCGCATCTATTGCTCTTTGCAGATCAGAGAAAGCGGGTATATTATAAGTGGGCACAGATGTATTGCTATTTTTATCCCGGCTTTTGTCTTCCTGTGTTTATGCATGGCATACCATACTCCAGGTTACCATCTAGGTGAATACTACTATCTCATGCTGCTCTATTCCTGTATAGTGTTCCTAAGCACAAGTATTTATATATAAAAGTATACAGTAAACAAAGGCCAGGAGACAGTCATCCTGTTAAATTCTATGCAAATGGAGGTAAAGAACAAAACATTCTTAGTATGTTTTTCTGTCCAAATTAAATACTGTATAATATTTGGAATATATCACAGTGTGACCACTAGATGGAGCTGAGGAGCATAAGAAATAAGCTCCTCAGCGCCATCTTGTAGTCACATTGTGATATTTTCCAAATTTGACTTGATATTAAAAAGATACTAAGAATGTTTGTTTTTGCCTCCATTTGTAGAGAACGAACATTCACGGAGTTTCGCAAGATGACTGCCTCTGCAAAATGTTTATAAATACACCTCTAAGTGTCCTG